AATTTACATCCAGTATGGATCATCTGGAGACTTATGATTACATTTGAAAGGAACTAAGGAAACTGAATCAACATGAATAAATAATTGAACATGAATCACAAAGCATCATTTTAACCTTGAATATTTGAACTGTCTTCGGAGTCCTCGGGATCACTTTCCATGGATGATGGTTTGGAAAACTTAATCTGTGTATCTTCTTCAATGATACGTCTTGATTCCAGAAAAGGAGAATTTTCCAAATTTCCTGCATCATCCTTTACATATAATAAGGAAAATCAACAATTCATTACTACAATCTATGACAATCAGCCACAAGATTACAACTGTTGAGTCAAAATAAGAAGGATACTGATGATTCATCGGGTGTATTGGACTTATATTCTCGTCTAAATCCATCAAAGCTCTTGACCTTACAAATGCCCTCAGTTTTTGATGTTATATCTATATGATCATCACCATGCAGTTGCCCCAGATTGCTTCTTGGTGCAAATCCTGGAAAAGATTTTCTGCCAGGTGTTTTCAAAGCAAAAACTGGGCTTTGGTTGTCAGACTCCGAGTCCAATGCTTTCTTCTTGAATTTTTCTGCTGAGTTTCCTTTCTGATCTATATGCTCTTGTAGATTTCTCAGCTGCTCAGTCATTTCCACAACAGGGGATTCTAGGTTACCAGCATCTGGTTGGACCATCTCGTCATTTTTCTCCTGAAATAAAGTAGAGCCATCACCAGGATATACAAATTTCTCAGGAACTGGTACTCTTTTACAATTACTTCTTGTGTCTTCATCTTTCATTTCATTGTTCAGCTCGCAAACCTTAGGTGCTTCCATGTGGTGACTCTTCCTCTTGCCTCTCCTTCCATATACCATCAAAGGACTACCAGTGCTAGCATCACGTAACGTCCTAGACAGCAGATCTTTAGGAAGGAAGACATTTTTCTCTAAGTGGTCCTCTTTACATGCTGGTGGTCCCTTTCTATTTTGTGATTTCAACTTAGCAGGAGCTCTTTTTCGAGCTAAAGAACGAGTAGTTGGTCTCCTAATAGCGTACTCATGACTTTGGGTATCACTTTCTATAGTATCTGAATTTTGCTTAGGTTCACCAACATGATTTCCACTGGCTTTTTGCTCTGGTTTCGAGGCTTTTGCACCTTGCTCGAGAACTAGATAATTTGGACACTGCTTGGTTGGGGAAGAAACAGTTCCTAAGATTTCCTGAAGCTTCAATCTTAAAGATGCATTGCCTGTATTTTCTGCTTTGGTAGTTTTTCCTTTGACTTCTTTCTCAGGCATGTCTTCCAGAGCAACCTTGGATGCATATTTCCCCCTTCTCTCTATAGAAGCATCCTCCTTTACCTGCTTGGATATGTCAAATTGCAAAGTCCTTGTCTGGGTTAAGAAAGACCTTAAGGAACACTCTGCTGGTCCTACCTCCACTCTGTGTGATGTGTTGCACATCTCAACTACACCCTGTGCAATTGAAGGTTTCTCTGCTTGAGTATCTGCCTCTGAAGTTGGTTCATGGTGGAGGGTTTTAGTGGATATCCAAGGAGATGTCTGCTTCTCTATGGGCTCTCTTTGATTTCTGATAGCAGAAGTGCTCGCTATTTCCTTCTTGTTTCTGTCATTTGTAAAATTCCCCTTGCTTGAAGTTTTCTGAGCCATTGGTGTCCCATCGTCAACAGATATCTCTTTGCTAGAAGTTTTAACTGCTGCCAAGTGAGTCTGATCTTCAGCTTGCTTTACTTTTTGAGTTCTGCATTTTGAAACTGAATCTATTACAATTCCAATGGACATCTTTCTAGATTGACTGGATTGGTGGTAATTGCTCCCAAAACTCCAAGCGTCACCGGCAAGGTCCTGACAAGAACAAAATATCAAGATCTAGCTTTCTAAGCATACCAACATGACATCAGATCCACTCAGTGAGAGGGGTCGACCTTTCTGGTCGTAAGAAAATTTGAAAATTGAACTCCACAAAAAGCTAACAAACTTAGAAATTTAAACTTATCGGAAAAGTCAAAAGACAACAGGGACGGAACAATATGCATATATGAAATCTGCAAATTGCTTCAAGTAAATAATTAACCCAGATTCGAATTGCAAGCTGGCCACTTACATCTCGTAATTTTGACTTCCTGTTGACGTCCATAGCTGCAAATTCAGCTGATCCAAAGTGAGCGTGTTACCTGAGTTCTGAAAATGAAAGCAGAAAGAATGATTAATCAAGTTTAACCATCAAATTCCACCATCATAGTTTTACATGTATTGCTAATTGCCCTCACAAACACGCGCCATAGTCACATAGAATGGAATTAAGCTTCGTAGACTAAGACTGTAGGTCTCTCTCTTTCACAAACACACATGTGGAACAGAGAATAACTGAGAACTTGTAATACTAGTTAGTTATCGGTATCTACAGCATAATCACATATAAAACGTTCAGATTCAAAACCCATCCTAAAATCCAAATCGCTCGAGAACAATTTCAGTACTACGTACTTTCCCTTTCATAAACGAAACGCCAAATTAAAGCTTCATTAGAAGAAAAAAAATCTAAATCTATCAGCGAATGATCAAACATCTGGTGAATCTAAATCTCCAACAGCTACAGTTTACAGAAACTTGAGCGGGGACGAATATATGAGGATTAACTTCACATGCATCATCGATCATGGAGATATTGTGAATTACTTACCACTTGTGAGCAGAGACGAGATTCACCATGCGCCTCCTTTCGTTTCTGAGCTGTGAGAAGAAGAACTCGAGTCGATACTCCAGAATGAACAAAGGATTTTGGGGTCCTTTTTGAAATTTTAGGAAATGGGTAGCGTGCGTACGGGTGATTTTGCGTGATCAGACTGAGAAAGAGGCGGGAAAAGACGAAACAATGGAGCGTGTACCTCACTTTCACTCTTTTACACTGCGTTTTACACCTTGTTTGGATGGGTTTTTTTATATTTTGATTTATAATTGTTTTGTACCCTATTATTTTGCCATTTGGATACATTATATTATCATTTTTCGTCATTTAATAATGTATTGTACTGTGTTATATTGTATTAGTTTGATAAATATAATACTTGAATATATTATAAGTATTATTTTTCATCGTAACATAATATCACACATTTAGAATTATGAATGATAAATCACAAAAAAAAAGGTTATGGGTAGAGTTATATAAAATATAGTAGGGTAAGAAATATTTAAAATTACTAGATATGTAATAACATAAAATGAGTTTTTTCATCATTTAATAATAATGAATTTAACGATATAACTCAATAAAATTTAATAAAAATTAAAACAAAACAATATATTTAAATTAACAATACAACATGATGTAACAACCATCCAAAGAGGTTGTGTTAGTGACTTGTTTGGTGATTTTGAAAATTAAGATCTTTAATTTTTTTTATATAAGTACTTCAAATGTATATAATTATTTCACAAAATATATGGGGAAATGTTTAAATATACCATTGTATTATTGAAAAATGCTTTATTTTATTTTGAATTGAGACGTCAATATGAGTTTGGGCCTAGGCCTAGCCTAACCTGTGATTTAATAGGGTGAACTTGAATTTTTGAAGCTCATTTAAGAAAATGACTTTTTAGATCGATCAGATCTACTAGTTTGTGGGGCTTGAGCAATATAGATTGGGCCAGCCAATGGGCTAAATAGAAAAATAATGAAAAAAAATAGATATTGAAAATAACATAAATCCAAACGCATAATCTATTTAAAGTCTTAAAAAATAAAATCTGGAATATCAAATGTGATGCACTTAGTATTTCTATTACTATTGTATCATCATAATAATCATTCAGCATTAGTGGACGTGTGTTCTAACCAAGTATATCATGAAAATATTCAAACATTTCTTGTTATTAGATACTGATTGCATGATTTTTCTCAAACTTATAATATTTTTTATGTACATTTAAATTTTATACATATTAATTATTTTTAAATTCTTATCTCATTGATAGTGTATACAAACTGTAGATGAAAATGAAGATGTTAAGATAACCTTGCCACAAACGCGTTCATATGTGCTTGATGAGGATGATGTGTTGGTGTCGTATACGTCATGAGTTTTATTATCTTTTTTAAAAGTTTATTTTTCACTGGTCAATCCATTTTTTTTCACTAATCATTAGTTAATTTAGCGTTGAGGTTTGACTTATCAATTTCATAATATTCTTATTTTTTACTGCATGCCACCTAATTGCTCCACCAACTTCACCTAAAAATGAACTTTTGAAACAAATTCCACGCATATCGTCGATGATGAGTGGAATGGTCCATCACAATAGATTATGCAAGTTTTTGGTTATTAGAGCTTTTGGTGCTTTCACAAACAAACACTACTTATTCCAAAAATACCAAAAAAATAAAATATGCATAAATCTTATTTCTATTTTATAAAGATTGAAAAGCTTTTTTAAAAATATCAAAAAGATAAAGTATGCATAGATCTTATTTCTATCTTATAAAGATTGAAAAACTTTTCTTAAAACAAAACTTACTTTCTTTATTTTAATTTGTTTATCTTATATTCTCTTTGTTTAAAAAAAAAGACCTACTTTTTTTTTTAATCTGCTTCAAAAAGAATGATCCTTTTTTCTTTTTTTTACAACACTTTTGATTTCAGTTTTTTCCGTCATATGTTTAATGCAATAAAGACTAAATGACATTTTGATGCATTTCATATAAATTTAATTTAATACTATAAAATTAAAAAGTCTTTTTCTTAAGCTCGGTTTCAAATTAATGGAACCATTTTTTTAAAAACAAGACTTTTCAAAGGGAATAACTTATCTTGTAGCATCACCCCTTATCTCATCAATATTAATTCCTAACCGAAAGATGTCAACTCATGAAGATAAACGACGGCTGAGATTGTGCGGGTCTACAAATTCCATATTCTTTCACCAACTGAAACGATAACGCTAAAGCAAACGGTGATATTTTCTCAGAGGAGCTGACAGTGCAGTCATGACAACAACGGCCGTCGCCAACCATCCTAGCATTTTCACTCACCGGTCGCCGCTGCCGTCGCCGTCGTCCTCCTCCTCATCGCCGTCATTTTTATTTTTAAATCGTACGAATTTCATCCCTTACTTTTCCACCTCCAAGAGCAATAGTGTCAATTGCAATGGCTGGAGAACAAGATGTTCCGTTGCCAAGGATTATACAGTTCCTCCCTCGAAAGTCGACGGTAATCAGTTCCCGGAGCTGGATTGTGTGGTAGTCGGAGCAGGAATTAGTGGACTCTGCATTGCTAAGGTGATTTCGGCTAATTATCCCAATTTGATGGTGACGGAGGCGAGAGATCGTGCCGGTGGAAACATAACAACGGTGGAAAGAGATGGATACTTATGGGAAGAAGGTCCTAACAGTTTCCAGCCTTCGGATCCTATGTTGACTATGGCTGTAGATTGTGGATTGAAGGATGATTTGGTGTTGGGAGATCCTGATGCGCCTCGCTTTGTCTTGTGGAAGGATAAACTAAGGCCTGTTCCCGGCAAGCTCACTGATCTTCCCTTCTTTGATTTGATGAGTATTCCTGGCAAGCTCAGAGCTGGTTTTGGTGCCATTGGCCTTCGCCCTTCACCTCCAGTTTGTACTCATACGCTTTCCCTTATCTCTCTACAACATTGATGCATTTATTTATTCTGATTGATTCTTCTCACACGAATAAAGAAAAAAAATGCAAATAAAAGAGAAATTGTACATTAAACATTTTGATAATCTGTGCCTTCCCCTCACTCCGCATGGTTTGGCAAAAGTGACAGGGTTATGAGGAATCAGTTGAGCAGTTCGTGCGTCGTAATCTTGGTGCAGAAGTCTTTGAACGTTTGATTGAACCATTTTGTTCTGGTACCTCTCAATTCTTCCCTATCTGCAGGAACTATTGCTGGCATTTGTTAACTTTGTTAAATACTGTTTGTTGTAGAGATCCGTATTTTTCAAAGAAATGTATCAGTATGAACTTTATGTGATACTCCCTCATCATTTTACAGGTGTTTATGCCGGCGACCCCTCAAAATTGAGTATGAAAGCAGCATTTGGGAAAGTGTGGAAGCTAGAACAAACTGGTGGTAGCATTATTGGGGGAACCTTTAAAGCAATAAAGGAGAGATCCAGTAACCCTAAACCGCCTCGTGATCCGTAATAATGGACTTGATTCGAAATCTTTGTGTTCTTTCTTTCCAGGCCTTGTGTTTCTTTCTCTTAAGAATCTGTCTCCAGAGAGAGTATGCTGACTTGAGTAATCATTCTACAGGCGTTTACCAACACCAAAAGGACAAACTGTTGGATCATTTAGGAAGGGTCTGAGAATGCTGCCGGATGCAATTTGTGAAAGGTGCTCTTCTGCTCTCCCAGCTCAATGCTTCCAACCCCAGGATAATAGACTTTTGGGGGGAAAGGGAAGAGAAAAGAATATCAAAAATTGACTAGTTAAAGCTCAGTTTTGACGTTTTTGCTGCCTTAAGCGTGTTCTTTGGTGCTCTTGTAGTATTTTAACTTGGAAATGCTTATAAGTTGTCTCCGTGTTTCCTTAGACTGGGAAGCAAAGTAAAACTATCATGGAAGCTTTCTAGCATTACAAAGTCAGAAAAAGGAGGATATCTCTTGACATACGAGACACCAGAAGGAGTAGTTTCTCTGCGAAGTCGAAGCATTGTCATGACTGTTCCATCCTATGTAGCAAGCAACATATTACGCCCTCATTCGGTGTGTTTCCATTACTGATTGCTCCAAAGTCATTATTGTTATTGTTCATTTGGCATTCTAATATATAAGCTTGTCTAAAAAGGTGGGAATGTTTGAGCAAAGTTTAGTCTTTTTTTTTTGGACTAGGGAAAGGGGTTCAAACACATCCATAGAACACCCACATACTATGTCTGTATACAGTATAATGTGATCAGCAAGAAGAGAAATTAAAAAAAAGAAAATTTTGTGTCATACCGAGAATTAACATGTACTTGCTTAATGAGGTCAAGAGTGCAACCGTACCCATCCTCTCATCAAAGTTGGAACCTGTGTCTTCCTATATCTCATGTTATTTTGATTTTTTATGTAAAAGTTTATTAGCAATTTTCTTAAATGCTTTGACCTTGGATTTTCCAAAGGTTACTACTTCTGAATTCTGATAATTGTTTTGCAAGAAAATATGGCTCACTTAAAATGAGAAGTGTTTATCTATAGGTTGTGGTTGAGCTTCTTCTGTTTCTTGCTGAAGCAAAATGTCTCCTAATCTTTTGTTAAACTCAGGTTGCCGCAGCAGATGCACTTTCAAGTTTCTACTATCCCCCAGTTGCAGCAGTGACAATTTCATATCCTCAAGAGGCTATTCGTGATGAGCGTCTGGTTGATGGTGAACTAAAGGGATTTGGGCAGTTGCATCCACGTTCACAGGGAGTGGAAACACTAGGTAGCTTTCTGTTATCCGCTCTTATTTTTGACATCAAACAATCCATATCGAGATGGATGACTTTTATTATGAAATTGCAAGGTGCTAATCATTGGATGACCCTCGTGACCTTGAAATTTTGACATTAACCTTGCAGAATGATTTACAATAATTACAAGATCTGATTCATCTTAAGTATTATAATTGTGTCTCATTGCAGGAACAATATATAGTTCATCACTCTTCCCTAACCGTGCTCCAAATGGCCGGGTGCTACTCTTGAACTACATCGGAGGAGCAACAAATACTGAAATTGTGTCTAAGGTAAGGCACTTAAATTGAATACAACTCCAGGTGCCGGCAGTATTGATTTATCATAATGAATGTTCATGGCCTGGCCAGTGAAGGCATCACCTGAAGGTCCTATAGTAACAAACATATACCTCAGTTTGATTGTATCCCTAGATGGTTTCTGGTTGTGTATTATCCTTTTGGATAAGTTTCCGGTGTTACTCTCTTAAGATTAATGACCATGTCGATTTGGATTACAAAACTGTTTCTGCTTATATAACTAAGCGATAGAATTATAAATTTTATTGTAGTAGTAGTTAACTATAACTGTAAAGTTAAATCTTTCTAGTAACCAACATTAATAGTATTTAATGACGGTGATTTAATCGGAAACTGGATTAAATCATGTAAGCTTATTCCAAATCAAACAAGCTCTAATTAGGAGAACTGGCTCTTATTGCACTTAAATCTGCAGTCATGACATAGTCAGTGATATATGATACCATTCTGGATGAGGCATCCTGCATTAATTTAGCCAGTGCCTTTGGTTACAATTATTTACCGAAAGAAGCAAACTTTCACATGCTCTACATGTTTTGAAGATTTAAAGCATAATAGGATCACTAATGTTTTTTTTTTTTTGAGAAGTACATTTTGTTTAACAACCTAGCATGTTTGCCCTAGTATGCTCTTTGTTGAAGGATTCCCTATCAACTTGAGTGAATGAGCTCCTTCACTAATTGAATAATTGCCCATTAAATGCTGGAAAAGTGGGATTATACTAAGACATGCCTTCCCCTTGTATAGCCCTAGAACTGTTGTCATACCAGTGAATTTTTAAAAATTTCTGTGCTGGTATCATGATATCCTCCACTTGCTATTGCTGTCAAAATTCTCTTACTGCTGTTATACTACTTCAATAATAAACTGCAAGTCTGCAGCTTTTCTTTATTTTTTTGATAAGGCTAAACTACAACGTTCTGTTAAAGTAACTAAGATGGAGGTTAACAAGAATGTACAGAAGTCACTGGACTTAGCTCCTTAATGCACTTATCTATAAGGTCCAGATATTGTCTATATCATTTACAATATTCATTATACACACAAAATATAATTGAAGGCATCTAATCCCCATATAATCTGTGTTCAGTTTTTCTGTCAGAACCTCTATATAATTTCTTGCTATCCGAACTGTCTGAGTATACATAATAGTATTGTTCTCCATAATTTTCTTTGCTCCTTTAGTTCCTGGCGTCAGCCACTAAATCCCTGTACCCCATACATATAAACATGCAGCACCCTGTACCCCATACATATTCAGAAAACTGCATCGTAACTACGATACATGTCTGCAATGTAAAAGTACGTGCTTTACTGGTTCAGTAGAGCCATCTAATAAGTATCACCTGCACCCTATCTTTTGTAAATTATATTGTGGTAGGCATTTCTCATGTGATGTGGTCCATTGTCTTGAATCAAGATTCAGATGTGTGTGAGTTACTGACTAGTGTTTCATGGAAAATTTAAGAGAAGAATAGAATGTCAAGGTGAGGTGGCATTGGTATTACAGACTACAAGTAAAGGAGGTACAACAAGGACAAAGGATAAGATATATGTGAAGTTGGTGTAATGATGCTTGTGAAAAAATCATTCCATCTATGGTGATGTATTATTGTTCAGAAATTGCAACCAGATATAATCCTTTTGTTGAAGTCTTTCACTTATTTGTGTGTCTCCAGAAAAAATTCTATCATTTATTTCTCTGCTTGCCAATTTTCTTCGTGTTTGATACATCCTTCTTTGTTTGTTGCATTTTTTTATGAGATGCATAGCATCCATGAGTTGATGATTTATGGTGACTATTGAGTGAACCATGTTCCTGTAAATCTGTGTTTCATTCAGTTGAGTGGTTCCTTGGGTTGAGACAATCTTCTTAACTCTTTATATTCTGTCTTACTTTTCTGATGTACACTTGATTTAGATGAATGCTGTGTTTTGTGCTTTTTCCATAGTACTTCTCTTTTATAGTATTTGTATGAAACATTTGGCGGTTATTCTTTATGCTTCAGGGACTTGAATAAATTGTTTCCAGCTCTAATACCTCATTCCTCTTGCAGACGGAGAGCCAACTTGTGGAAGCAGTTGACCGTGACCTCAGAAAAATGCTTATAAAACCCAAAGCACAAGATCCCTTTGTTACGGGTGTGCGAGTATGGCCACAAGCTATCCCACAGTTTTTGGTCGGACATCTGGATACACTAGGTACTGCAAAAACTGCTCTAAGTGATAATGGGCTTGACGGGCTATTCCTTGGGGGTAATTATGTGTCTGGTGTAGCATTGGGAAGGTGTGTTGAAGGTGCTTATGAAATAGCATCTGAGGTAACTGGATTTCTGTCTCAGTATGCATACAAATGAAACCTCCTCTTGGGGAGGTACTGTTGGGTCCAAACCTTGTTAGTAATTCCATTATGCCTTTGGAATGTTGGCATGTGCCTAAAAGTTTTGCTGATTAGAGTTATTTTAGCTTTGGTAAATGATTTATGCTTGATTTCAGTCGTTTTTGTTGTAATCTTGGTTCTGATTTCCTTGAGACAAAATGTTCTTGTTAAGGAACAATAAGTTTAGAGTTCGAGTATCTGTTAATTGTAAGAAAATCTAACATATTGGGCATAATTAGCTGCCTGCTTTGCCAGTAGATATATTATAAGGCTTGGTTAAATATGTTTTGCCTTGGAGTTCTTTTGATTTCTTTGGGAAATTATTCATTCCAAGACCAAACGTAAAAGATTATACCATACTCAAGGGCAAACACGGAGACAGAGACTCCTAAATCCTTCCACAAACCCCCATTTCGCAACATACTTTCGAATCTTGACGTTCTAAACTAACTTCTTCTTTATGCCAAATCCGACATTGAGAGTTTTATTCGACCGAATTCGATTCTGAAAGGCCCTATGGATTTTTTATTGTCTTAAGATTTTCTTATTGTCTACTAGGAAATGCGATCCAAGCTTAGACATATCACCCCAACCATCCCGTTCTAGACCCCGACTTACTTAGATTCCGTGTGAGACTGGCCTATCTTAAAATTTTCAAATCTCTACCCAAAAATTATTTTGTCCCACTTTTTTCACTATTGGCCTTTCCATAGCTACCGGAAGGGGTCGTTACACCAAGATACTAGAACTAATTTGGTTTCAATAGGAGTAGCATATTAGATTTCGAAAGTTGGAACTTTGAATGTTAATTACATGTTAACTTGCAATCGATTCACAACCACAAATTAATGCGAAAAATTCTAATATTTCATCATTTTTAAATATAATATGCAAAATATAATTTTCACAAATAAATTAGTATAATTTTATTTTAAGAAATCTAATACTAATAAAAAAATTTAAGTCAATCAAATGTATTTTTAGAAAATCATTTACACCCATGAGCCATGACTTATATCGGACGGTCAACCACATAAAATGGTAAGTTGGATTGGGTTAAAAAGCGGCCCAAAAAGAAGCAAAAAAGGGGCATCTCGTTTCAAAATTTGAAATACAGCACCGAACAATGTGTACCGTTGGAAACACTCAAAATCTCAGCCTAATTCATCTCTCATAGAGAGAACTCTCACAGAAACGAAGACGAACTCAACAAACATGAGACGCCATGGATGGCAACGTCCTCTTCACACATTGCAGGTTCGTCGTTTCAGCCGATTCTGATTCTGCTATTTTTTTATTTTATTTTTTTCTGAGTTTACTTGTTTTGAACTGGTGTTAAACTGCAGATTGTGGGCATATCGGTGTTCTGTTTCCTCTTAGTATTTTTTTACACCTTCATCGGTCTTCTGCTCGGTAATAGGGTTGTTGAGATCACTGTCACCTCTGTTTTCTCCTTTGTGGTAATTTCAACTTTCACTAGTGATATTGTAGCTCAGTATAATCGATTAACTGTATTCGAGGCGGAAAATTGAATTTTGGATGTGTGATTTACTTGTATGTAGGCACTTTCTGCTGCATTTCTGTTTGTAAGGTGTGCGGCTATCGATCCAACTGATAAGACGAGGTTCAGGATGAGGAGGAAAAGCACTCGCACTGCTTTTTCGAATCTTAATTATGGATTTGTATTGGGACAGATTGTTGTGAGATTTCTTAGGAGAATTGAGCGCAGAGTGCTTAAGACATTTATAAGGAGAAAGTACCTGGATCCTTTGAAGAGTAATCTTCATTTGGAGCCTTTGCTCACATTTCCACTACTCGTCAAAGATGATTTGGTTGCGCAACAGACAAAAGATGATGACATTTCGTTTTGTTCGCTTTGTGATTTTGAGGTTTGCAGCTGCATTTCTCGTTACATTTTGCTAATTGAATTTGTTGAACTTACTAGGTATATGTTTTTTCTTTCACTATCTGCTTGCACACACCAATGGCGAAGCCAAGAATTTATACAAGGGGATTCAACTAGAAAGTGATAGCTGAGATTTGAAATTGTGACCTAAATAAGTTTTAAACCTCTTTTCCCATTGCACTAAAATCTTCCCTCATGTCAAGGAACAAATCTACTTCCCTATGCCAAGGATATTGAACAGTTTATGCAAAACCACAAAAAAAAATCATTCTTGCCAAAAATGTGCAACTAGATCCACATCTGGCACACACAATGAGAAAGTGGTGAAGCGAGATTATGCAGATTCTAATAGTTGACAACTACATGAAATTACAACAATAACATACCTAGTGAAATTCCATGAAGTGGGGTCTAGGGAGGGTAGTATGTACGCAGACCTTACCACTACCACACAAACAACTATATGAAGCTAAAAAACAAAAAAAGTAACAACTATATGAAATTATTATGCAGATATTAATAGTTGATAGCTATATGAAATTGTCTTTCTTGATCACCTTTGCAGGTTAAAAAGCGTAGCAAACACTGTAGGACCTGCAATCGATGTGTGGAGGGATTTGATCACCACTGCAGAGTAAGGAGATAGGGTCTCATTCTCTGCTGCGTTGTACATTAAGGTACACCTAAACTCAAACTGACAGGATCTTTGTTTTTGAGTTGTTGCAGTGGTTAAACAATTGTGTCGGGAAGAAGAACTATACCAGCTTCATTTTTCTAATGATATTCCTCTTGATAATGGTTACTCCCACTTTCTCTCTTGCTATCTCTTTCTTTTTTCGATATCCCTATTGAGTTTGCATCTTAAGCAGCTAACAAATTTCTTACTGAAACAGCTGCTTATTGAAGGAGGGACAGCTGCTGCAATATTTGTAAGGTGCTTTGCCAACAAAAGGAGCATTGAGCTAGAGATTCAGAGAAGATTCAGTGCCAAGTTCCCTAGAGGAGTTCTGGCAACAATTTGTGTATGATTCTTTGCTTGCTTTCTCCACTATATCTCCCTCAGTTTTATCAGTTGTTCATCTTTCAATGCATATTTTTGCAGGTAATCTTATTTTTCATGACATCGTATTGTGCAGCAGCGCTGGGACAGCTTTTCTTATTTCATATAGTTCTCATCCGGAAGGTATGATTGTCCCCCTTTTTCCCAATGATTTGGTGCAGTGCAACTGTAAAAAGCATAACAAATCTTTTGGATTTGATTTTGTGGATAGAAAGCAGGAATAGCATCACAAACAAAAAGTTCTGGTTTTTGCGTAACAGTAAGCGCAAAGGAAACCTTGTAACATATGTACAAAATAACTTTTCGTTGAGAGTTTTGTGTGAAATTCCCACATGTTTCTTTCTTTTCCTTTCAACTAATGTAAGATAGTAAGTAGGCTTACTATGAATGTAATAACTGAGAAGTAAAAGCAAGCTTATTTATGTATGGGAAATAGGAAAACAAAAAAATGAGCCAGTTGATTGCAATATACTCCTGAAAGATAAGTGGATATAGGAAGTTGTGTTGTTGCAAGCTTTAGTGTGGAACCAGGGCTGCAATTTCTAAAAGAACACCTTAAAGTACTATGTATGTTGGCGTAAAAATCCTAAAGCAGCTCATCTTGGAGCTACTATTGCTAGTTGCTACAGTGTTAGGAATCCTAAACTAAGGTTCATCATCTGCTTATCTTCATAGTTAGAGCTGCTGTAACCAGTTTGTGCTGAGGGAAAACACATTGGAGGCCTGTAGATTATTGAGAACATAAGAAACTCGACACACGAGTTTGCCCAACATTCTCTGTTAAGTTTCTTGGTTTCACAGCTTAAGATAAACTATGGTTCTCTTGGCAGGGCATGAGAACTTATGATTACATCTTGGCAATGAGAGAGGAGAACGAGTCTATGGAGCTTTTGGAGTCATCAGAAGATTCAGATTCCTCCTCTGATGAGAGTATTGACTTTGATTCACCTGAGAAGCCGTCACTTGTTTCAAGACTTACATGCAGAGAAAAAGGAATGAATCAGGTATATATGCACATTTTTCACCTCAAGAATCTTTGCCTCAATTCTTTTGCGTACTTAAATCAATCATTACTGGATATTTCTCTTTGATCTTGTAAGTTGAATTTTGCAATATTTCTATCAGAGTTTGGAGACAGTATCTATAAAAATCGATGGAGAATCATCCACATTGAAAGAAAAGCGAGGTTTTCGAGCTAACATTGACCCCTGGAAACTTATAAGTATGAGTAGAGAGAAAGCACTAAAAGCAGCGGAAAAGGCAAAGGAACGGCTCATCAAGCAGAAGGAAATAGTAGACCCTTTGAAGCCGCTACCACTAGAAACAAGAAGTGGACCACTGATGAATTTGGACACTAATAGAGTTCCCTTATCTGTGGCTAGCAGTAGGGAACTTGCTTTATCGAAAGAAGTGATCATCACAAAAGGGAGGGTAATCCGTGGCGGGGGATCACCAATGCAGCTTTCTAGTCCCAGGCGAAGACATTCCTATTCTCCTACAGTTGTCCCTACACCTCGTAGTGGTAATACTACTGTACCATCCCCATCACCAAAGCATAGATATAAAGGAAATTTCGACTTGAAGTTAACGCAAGTCTCCAAGGAACTTGAGACTTACATTTCAAGGCAGGTATTATTCTCTGCCTTGAAGAAAGAAAATGAAACTGCAGCATCGCCCAGATAACATCACTGGTGGATCGGAGGTGGCGACACTCTCAAATTTCTAACATCAACAAATTGAGGGACTGCTTTGAGTACATTTTTCTTCTTTTAATTTATTTGTAATAGCATTTATGTTACTAATATTATCGAACAAGTTGACTTCATCATCATAACGAACATATGTATGATAATGCTGCTTGCAATATCTTGTTTATATATGTTCCCCAACAAAGTGGGATTGAAAAATATAGACTGTGCTTTACTTTTTGAGGATTATTGTTGCCCTTGTAATTTACCTGAAAATTCTATTAATTAATCGAGAGATGTGCTTTACTTTGTTCTCGTCGCATTTGAGTTTTTTTAAATAGAGATAACTACACTCTCACGTGATGAACTTAGGTGGCATGTTACATGATGTTCGCCTCATTAAAATGTCAGTTGCACATTGGATTGGGTGCGCATAATCCTTTTCACATAGTAGAAGGGCAAATGTGACCCTTTCTCCATTTAATTTTTTGTCTCACTAACAAAAGTTTAATAAATTTAAATTCTTGCCGAGAAAAATTCCGACCGCTTCTTCTCATTACTTATTTGTGGTTGTAATTGCATAGGTAATTTGTTTCACTGAGCTTATATTGCATAATATCCTTAATGA